TTAAAAAAATAGGCCCTCCCATTCTTACGAGATATTTTATCAAATTTCTAATTAAAAGTTCAAATGTTATTAAGTTCGGCTCGGACCTCCACCGTGTGTTAGACATTCTAAATGATTAAAAAATAGGCCCTATATTGAAACATTTCTGGAAATATTCCTGTCACTTAGCTTGAAAAATGAGGCTAAACCTTCAAAATACCATAAATTAAAAAATTATGGGGCAATTTAAATACCAACAATACTAGATGTATTAGCAGACTTATGGACGGACATACAGGCATGTATAGATCGTGATATGGAGGTTCCAACGAATATTTCAAAATATATATTTTGCCTAAGGATAGAGGGTATAAAAAGGCCGAAAGATGATCTGTAGAATAATGGTAAAGGACCTTTATCCGCAGAAGTCCTTCGTATAGAAGGCATACTTTTAATAGATATTCCATCGACGTTTTTATTTAATAAACACCTAAAGATATATTAAAATAATGTGGATCCTGCAGTTGTTATGTTGTTATTTATAACTAGGTATTAAAAATTCGTTCTCACTGCACTCAAATCCTTCTTAAGAAGAACCTGCTTCTATTCCTCCTATTGGAAATAAACGATTTAAAATCAATGACAACAACAACTTGTAAATATTTTCATAACTAGCTTTCCTTTCGAAAATACAAAATGCCAACGAAGGAAATGACAGCTGAAACAGAAAGACCAAAAACAAACAAAATAGAAAATAAAATTAAAACGAAGAACCAAAACACAAGGGAAGACATTAAAACGCGAAATTCGTTTTGCTGAAAAATCCCGAAGGAGGAAAAAAACAACAAACAAACAACTTTTCTATATACAACACTTGAAAAAAAAACAACAACAAAGATATAATTTTTTTCTTCACAATTTTGCACAGATGGTCAAGAAAAATTTATGTTTATATAGTTTTCTGACTGCCCTAAGAATATTTCCGATTACTACTACTACTACTGCTGCTAATGTCATAACGGCAGCAGCAGTAACAACAACGTAGGCAAGATAATACCAGTGGTAAGCTGGGCCAAAAACAAAAATCTGGAAAGGAAACTGGAACTTCAGTAACCACAAAACTTGGGGAAACTTTCATTTGCACACACTTTAACCGGTACCCAAAGGAGATTGTTAGGCAGTGAGAGAGGAGTGGAAAATGCAATATAAAAACAAAACTTTTTGAAGCCTTAAAAAGCCATAAAAAGAAAATGGCCACCATAGTTAACAGTAAAACAGATATTAGTCACCGGCTTAACATGTCACAGGTGATAATGAGCGTATTCGGATGTCATTGAAAGTTTAGCTTTTAGGTTAATTTAAAGAAGAAAAAACTAAAGTTCTGGTTTCTGCTGGGCAAAAAATGAAACTTTTCTTTTGCACACACGCACACTTATTTACAGGGATTTATCGAAATTCTAAATCTTTTAACTAAAAACCAACAAAAACACAATGTACAGATATTATTATACCCTTCACCACACTGTGGTACAGGGTATTATGTCTTTGTGCATATGTTTGTAACAGGCAAAAGGAAACTAGATAGACACATGGTTCCTTTTGAGAATATGCATAGAATCACTTTCTGAGTCGATTTACGCATGTCCGTCCATGTATTTTTGTGAACAAAGTACAGGTCGCATTTATGATCCGATTTGGATGAAATTTGGCATATGTCACTTATTTGGCCCAAGGACGAACCCTATTGAAATTGGGAAAAATCGGTTCAGATTTAGATATAGCTCCCATATATATTTTCGTCCGATTTAATGTAAATGGTGCACCAAAGTCCCTTTATATCTTTCGATTTGCACGAATTTTGGCACAGCGTAATGAATTAGGCCTAGAATGATGTGTGCTGAGTTTAATTAAAATCGGTTCAGATTTAGATATAGCTCCCATATATAGTTTCGTCCGATTTTATGTAAATGGTCCACCACAGTCCCTATATATCTTTCGATTTGCACGAAATTTAGCATATCGTATTCAATTAAGTATAGAATGATGTGTGCAAAATTTCGTGAAAATCGGTTCAGATTTAGATATAGCTCCCATATATATTTTCGTCCAATTTAAGGTAAATGGTGTATCAAAGACCCCTAATATCTTTCGGTTTGCACGAAATTTGGCACAGCGTAATGAATTAGGTCTAGAATGATGTGTGTTAAATTTCCTGAAATCGTTGAAATCGGTTCAGATTTAGATATAGCTTCTATATCTGACCAAATGGAAAAATTAGTATAGGTTGCAGAATGACATGTTTATGGATCCAATTTCATTTTGATGGTCCTTTTAAAATGGGACGTCTGTTAGGATTCATGTGTTGAATATACCCACAGTGGTGAAGGGTATCATATAGTCGGCCCCGTCCGACTTTACTACTTTCCTTGCTGGTTTGTAATTAAAAAAACATTTTTTAAATATCCTGATGTGACTTAGCTCGTGAAATAAATTCTCTCCATTAAAAACTATGTGAAATTAAAACCAGTAAGTTAACTAGTAAGGTCGGATGGGTTCAAAGAGGTTAAGGGTATCATCCTTAACTACATTCGGTATATTAAACAGATGTATTGCATGCAATTGGTCGAACTTAATATGTTAACATCAATAATTAAAATCGGACTAAAATATATACATGAGTTATATCTAAATCTGAACTGATTTTAACAGAACTTAACACAAAATTTTGTGCCAATCAGCTAGATTTTCGGTCTATGGTGCGCCATTCACATAAAATCGTACGAATATGTGGAGCTGTATCTTAATCTAAACCGATTTTTACTAATTTCAATAGGGTTTGTCCTTGGGAGCCTAGGGAGTCTATCTCGTTTTCTTTAGCATGTTACAAACATATACACAAAGACATAATACCGTGTACCAAAGTGTGCTACAAGTAAAAAAAGAGGAAAGATAGTCGGAGTTGGAGAGCTTAGAAGAGTGGTTATTTTAGCCATATCAAATTCTTGACAAAACCTAGGATCTGCTTGGGGTCTATTTTGGAGAAGAAAGATAGATTATAAATTTCATATTATCCAAACTGTCTGTGTCTTCTGCCACTCAGCGATGGACACCTAAGAGAGGATATGTTCAATTTCGTCCTCACATAGACGGCAGTAATCCTCTTCGTTGGTGTCCTATTTTGAGGTGAGAGATCTGATCCTGCAGTGACTCGTTATGGTCCCACAATGATTTTAATCTCTCTCTCTCTCTCTTATTGTGTCGTTTTCGATTCTGCAACCAGGTTCTCTTGGCAATCTTTTACCGCCTAGTCACTAATGTGAGTACTACTCTTCAGGAAGTCACAACCTGGCGTGGTGTGAAGGATTCCAGGCATCCGTTTCTCGGAGCTTCAGAGCACATCTAGCAGCCTGGAATTTAATCAGGGAGTCCAGTGGGGTTTTCACTCTTAGTGGGGTTTACGCCAAAACCACTGGCGTGTGCCCAATTGGGCAGAGTTGAAAAGGCACCCTCCATGATGTCTGAGATCGTCGGCAGAAACTTCCCACCGACCAGCAAGACTACATCATCAGCATAGGCTACAACTTTTATTGTGATTGTGATACTTTCAACACATCGTTTTTGAACGCTTCTTCAGCATCTCCTGGCGACGAAATTCGTTGTAAGAGAAGTAACTGGACACATCACAAATTAAAAATGTCAAACATTCCAATTGGAGATGGCACCAAAAACATTTAGTGTAGCCTAATTCAGAAACTGGCCACATTTTCCAATGTATTTTTCTGTAATTGGTATTTTGGTTCCTCAGAAGATAAAACCCACCTAACCACCTGTCCTGTAACCCCCACATTAGAGGTGAGAGTGAGGACCTTTTTTAGATAGTTTAAAGGTTCTGGAGTTCCATTCCAACATTTCATTAATATCACAACAATTTTCCTACTTCACTCTACTTTGCCACTATTTGCGCTCATATTTCCTCTCCCTCCCGCTTTTTATTTGAAAAAAAAAATTTATTCCTCCCAAGAAAAAAACACCACCAACCTTGTTCGACTGTGTCTTGTTTTCGCATCGTTCGCTCTCCCTTACTGCGTGTTTGTTATTTTTCCAACCGTTTTATTGACTACTGTTTCTGTTGCTAACAACAGACTCACTCGATTGTAATTAGATCTGTAATGGTTTTGCAAAATTCGCATATCTATTTTCCAAATTATTTTGATTTTATGTTGGTTTTTCTAATGACGCAGAAAACCAACATAAAATGAAATAAGAAGAAACAAGACACATAACGAAGAAAACATAAAATAAAAATAGGAAAATTAAAACGATAAGGAATTTCGGTGCCTAGAAACCGCCACCACAATTAAAAGATATTTTTTCACTCTATCTGACAAGAATGCGGCATTTAAAGTTTTATGAATTAAATGCATAAAATGCCGAAATCCAGGCATTAACAACACATTCTGAACACTATTTACCTAAAATATAAGAATTATTTTTTCTGTGCATACAAATGAAGAGCATCTGGTCTTCTCTATATGGCAGAAGATTTTCTGGTGTTCTATTCAAAAAGTCAGGTCAGGCCTAAACACACATAAGCCTAGGGTTTTTAATTTTTTTTTTCATAGACCCCTATAGACCATCTATAGATCCACCAGCGTTGATTTTTTCTAAAACAGTTCCCAATCTTTTATTGACAAATAAGCATGGATTTTTTAATAGTCAATAAGAAGAGATTTGTTGTAATATTAGAGAAGCTTAGTAATTCTTTATAGAACACCAAAATTTTTGTCTTTTTATGAAAATCCTCTGATTGTTTATCCTTTCCGAGATGCTATGTAAAAACAAATCTCTGAAGAAGCAACTCCCAAAACATCCATCAAAATTAAAATCAAATTTGAACAATTTAAAAATCAAAAATATTTTCATTGTTTTTTGCTCCAACTTCTTTGTTTATTTTCCATATTCCATTATTTTATTCTCTTGTTTTAATGTCTATTTTTCTCTTTTTTCTTACTTTTTTGCAGATCCGTTGAACTGATTGCCTTACTGGCCATATCCTGCACATTTTTCTTATTCATGCACACAAATAAACTCAACAGTCGCCTTAAAGAGATGGAAATGAAATTACAGCCATCAGAATTTTCAGCACTCGGTCTGACAGGCAGCAATCATTTGGATGGACCAAGTAAGTTAATCATGTTCATCATTTCCGGAATTCTATCGTTGTTGTTGTTGTTGGCGTTGGTGTTGTTATTGTTTATGCTTTGTAGAGCAGCTAGAGAAAGCCCTGGTCTTGGTGGTTCTGCTGCTGGTGGCAATGTCATTCAGCTACTCGGGGTTTTTTGTGTGGTGTCTGTTAGTCTGCAGAAAGAAACAAAAACAGAAATGTGGGAGTTGAAAGAAAGAAAAAAAAACAGCTCTTGCAAAAATTTATCTTTACTGCAAATTTATGCAATTTTTTTTTTTGTTCTTATGAAAAAAAAACAAAGAAATGAATGGTAGGAAAATTTGTTGTTGTTTCTTTTAACTTGAAGTTAAGAAAAACGAAATAGGGAGCATAAATAAATTTTAATAACATGTCTAAAATCAGTTGCCGAAAGGATAAGAATTTTTGGTCAAAGACAGATATTTTATTTGATATAGAAAAGAAGAGAAAAATCCGCCAAGATTTCATTAAAAAATGGAATTTGTCCTTCCAGGTTCCTTATATTCCATTAGCATTCCCTTAAGTTTGGTGAAATTTGAAGTAGGAACTTGTAATATTATTTCAGAATAACTTAAAATGTTCAATCCTTTCATTCCTTTTTCCAACACCCTTTATTAAATGGTAGTATTTCCATTTCACTATCCCGCTTTTTTACTTCTTTGGAGTACCCTCCAACTGAAATCACATTTTTTTTGCATCTTATGTTGACAGTTTGTCCATCATTTGCCAAAAGTGAATTATTTTTTGTTATGTCCTGCAGTCTTCTTATCCTCGAAAAGTGCGTTCAGAATACAAAAGACGAAAGCAAAAACCAAACAAAGAAAAGATTTGGGAATTAACAAAATTTTCCGATTTTTTTTTCATTCTCCCTCTACACAATTTTTGCTAATGATAATTATGGTTGTTATGTGTGGCAGGCAATTTAAAATTTTAAGTTTCTAAAACACGTTGCCAATATTTAAAACAGGTTGACATAACCTAACATTATTTCGTTGTTAGAAAAATTGTCAACACATGTGTGATCATGGTGTACCTCCATCCTCACATTAAGCTATTTAGTTGTGTACACACGTTGTGTACTATTTACCAAGTTTATTCAGCCGTTAAACGTTGTTTTCTTTTGTGGAATTAACATAAATAAATAAATTGCACAGCAGCCAAAAAAACAAAGCTAACGAGCCAAAATGTTTGTTTGATTTTTATATGTCTGTTTGTTAGTTATTTTCCATATATATGTTTTTTTATGTTTTAGGTACTGAAATAAAAACACAACTATTATGTGGGAAATCAGGTCAGGGATAGCGTATTCTAAACCAACAATAAAAAAATTAGAAACGTAGAGTCGGGTTTAATTAAAAAACCCAGCTAAAGGTAAACATAAAAAATTTGAAATCAGATTTAAATGTTTATGGATATTAATAAATAATTGCTAATTCGAGAAAGCCAATATACGAAGTGTGATCAAAAACTATAGATTTATTTTTTTATGTATTTATTAACTTACATACCGATCATGTCCCCTTCAAAGTGATTTCCCTTAGATATAATACCGTTATACCAAGGGGTTTCCAATCCACAAAAAAACGCTTCCGAAACTCGTTTTCATACCCTTCACCACACTGTGGTACAGGATATTATGTCTTTGTGCATATGTTTGTAACAGGCAAAAGAAATCGAGATAGACCCATGGTTCCTTTTGTGAATATGCAAAGAATCACTTTGTGAGCCGATTTATGCATGTCCGTCCATGTATTTTGTTAACAAAATACTGGTCGCCTTTATGATCCGATTTGGATGAAATTTGGCACAGGTCACTTAATTGGTCCAAGGTCGAACCCTATTGAAATTGGCAAAATTCGGTTCAGATTTAGATATAGCTCCCATATATATTTTCGTCCGATTTAAGGTAAATGGTGCACCAAAGTCCCTATATATCTTTCGATTTGCATGAAATTTGGCATAGCGTACTGAATTAAGTCTAGAACGATGTGTGTTAAATTTTGTGAAAATCGGTTCAGATTTAGATATAGCTTCCATATATATATATATATATATATATATATTCGTCCGTTTTTGGGTAAATAGTGCACCAAAGTCCCTTTGTATCCTTCGATTTGCACGAAATTTCGCATAGCGTGCTGAATAAAGTCTAGAACGATGTGTGTTAAATTTCGTGAAAATCGGTTGAGATTTAGATATAGCTCTCATATATATTTTCGTCCGATTTGCACAAAATTTGGCATAGCGTACTGAATTATGTCTAGAGAGATGTGTGTTAATTTTCGTGAAAATAGATTATATTTTTAACAATTATAGATTATATTTTTAACAACGCGGCGTACCGAATAGCGTGTATCAATTTTGTTATAAATCGTTTTCCATAAATTTTCCCCATGTTACGCAGGCGGCTCTAGATCTGCTCGAACGAAATTAAAGTTAGGATAGGTTGGAGAAAGAGGGAACATAGACATGCAATTGTTAGGATACATATGTATAAAGTCGGCCCAGTCCGACTTTATTACTTTCCTTACTAGTTTGGTATAGGTTTAAGGAAAATAAAAAAAATGGACTTAACCGACTATATGTTGGATACCCACAAAGATGCTCATACGCACAATGTCCTATCGATATAAACGGACGAAATCAAATATGTGATCTACATAAAAATATGTACGATTTTAAATCAACTAATAACCATGTCATTCTGAAATCTACGCAAAATTTCATGTCAATCGGGCAGACTTGAAATCTTTGGTGTATCATTTGGAATCTAACAAGATTATTAATGTGAGCTATATGTAAATGTGTCCCGAATTTAGTCTCAATCGTACTAACCTTGGAAGTTTGGTGTGCCAATTACTTAAATCGGGCGAAAATATATATGGGAGCTATATCTACAATTGATCCGATTTCAATGAAACTTAACACAGTCTATTCTAGACTCAATTCAATACGATGTGAAAAATTTCAATGTTTCAATGGGACAAACTTGTTTGGTGCAACATTTATATAAAATCGGCCGAAAATATATATAGGGGCTATATCTAAATCTGCACCGATTTCATCATAACTTTATACACGTCATTCCAGGCTCAATTTGGTACGATGTGTAAGGTTTCGTCTCAATAGGGCATCATTGTCAAATCGGCCGTAACTAAATATTTGAACTATATCTATATCTGAACCGATTTCAACGAAATTTAACACACGTCATTCTAGACGTAATTGAGAACGCTATGCCAAATTTCGTGAAAATCGAATGATATATACAGACTTTTTTATATGTGCTATAAAAAATTTCGCTTTAATCAGAAATACCATCCTTTTACTTTAAACCGGACGAAATTATATATGGGAGCTACATCTACTTCTGAACCGATTTCGACAAAACTTTAGACACGTGGTGTAATATTATAAAATCAAACTAAACTTTATTTAAAGCTGAACCGATATTTACCAATTTCAATAGGGTTCGTCCTTGGACCAACTAAATGAGCTGTGCCAGAATTTCATCCAATTCGGATCACGATAAAACAAGTAAAAATGATATTAAGTTGGGCGCAGGCGAACTTTTTATACCCTTCATCAGAGGATCACAATCAAAATATCTAAAATTAATGGGGACTCCAAGGAAAATCTCATGTTATGATATGACCTTGAAAATACCGAATACGAAAAATACGTGAGAAAAAAATGATTTAAATTTTGTATTTATCTAATAGTGACGCTACCGTTATATGGGGCTGTAATAAAACGGAGATCAATATTGATTTTTTTTTTTTTTTTTTGGTATTGAGACAGCCAATGAGAAAAATTCTCAAAATAATCAAATGGGTCAATGTTAATATTTTTTAGTGAGATGTGTTGATGCAATTTTTGAACCTATAATATCAAATTACAGCCAATTTGATTGAAAAACGTGTCAAAAATCAACATATTGGGAGGTACCATATTATGGAAGCTACCCTTAAACGTTCGTCAATATTAGTAATTTTTGGTACGGATATGTGGTATTCACTGAGAACCCGAAATACCAAATTACAGCCAATTCGGTTGGAAAACGAGTCAAATAACCCCAAATTCCGGATTATTGGAGGGTATCGTTATATGGGGGCTACCCTGAAACAAGGGAAAATATTTATAATATTTGGTACGGATATGTGTTATTCAATGAGAACCCAAAATACAAAATTACAGCCAATTCTTGTCCAAAATCCCCAAAATATCAAATAATGGGGTGTTCCGTTATATGTGGGATCGATATATCCCATTTTCAATACCAAACATCCTAGGAGTATTAGCAATATATGTGCAAAATTTCAGAGCTCTATGTAAAATATTGCGATCTCTATTGTGATTTCAATAGACAGACGGACATGCGTAAATCAACATACTTGCATGCACTCAGGATGGAAAATTTTGTCTCAGACCGTCATCAAGCATGTTTATATGGAGTTATGTAATTTATTTGCTTTATATCCACCAAGAACCCAAATTAAGTGTCTAAAATGGGGCGGGACCTTTATATGGTGCCTATGTCCAATCTTGAACATATATTGTAGATTTTATTAAGGGGACACTACACCCATCCTCGGTTTCAAAAAATTTAATTTAGTTTTTATACCCTACACAACTATGTTGTCAGGGTATTATAGCTTTGTGCAGCCCCAAAAGTTTGTAACGCCGCCAAATATTAGACCCACCTTTAAGTATACCGATTGTCATATCTCGGTTAGCTGAGTCGATCTAGACATGTGTGTCCGTCCGTCTGTCCATTATAATTTGTAAACACGATACAGGCCACAGTTATGGACCAATCTTCACGAAGTTTTGCATGTAGGATGGGTTCGGCCCAATGAAGACCCCTATTGTTTTTTGTAAAGATCGGTTAATACTAAGGGGATGAAATGGACCAGATACTTAATTTTTGTCGGATTTTCTGGTCGCTCCAGAGGCCGCGATTATGGCCCAAACATCGC